TTTTATCATCCCAACCCATGGCAAAAACATGGCACCATTCACTCTCTGTGGCCGACCGTGGTGGTGGGCGGGGGAATGGAAGCCCAGGGTGTGCCAGGGGCTTTTTCGAAGCCACACAGGGTCAGAGCTGAACAATAATGCAATCCCACCCCACCCTGTGGGATCTGGGGGCTCCCAGGGAAGATGCCTGGACCCGGGGTGAGGTCTGCATGGAGGGGCTTCATGGAGGGAACCAGACCGGAAAGGCATTTTTGCTGGTGTGAAGGAACCAGCCATGACAGACACCCAGAGTCCTGGGCACACTGAGCCACTTTTAGAGACATGCTTTTTTTCCCCCGAGTTGTCTGTCAACAGGAAGCCCCTCCCAGTGATGGAGTCATCGTCTTCCTCAGTGGAAACCAGAAACAAGAGGCTGGACCCCCTGACTCAAGTCACAAGCCCAGGGATGACCTTGTTTTTAAGGAAGCAGGCAGCGGTGTCCAGCGGCCTGGTCTACCACAAAGGGACCTGAAATAGCTCTGAGGACCTGTGTCCACGAAGGAGGGAGGGCAGTGGGTAGCGGCTGGGTCATAGCGCCGCTTTGTTGGGAGGCGAGACTCTGTCTCTCTGCCCACCTCCCATTGCACCCGACAGTCTCTGTCTCTCGGGACAGAGAGAGAGACAGCTGCTTGGCTACAGAACGCGAAGGCCCAGTGAGCCCCACCAGTCACAAGGGGCGTATAATCAGCCCGCACCCAAAGGGTATCAGTGGCACAGAGACATCATTGACACCACATCCGAGGGGCGGAGTCAGGCGTCTGCCAACAGATCATGGTAAATCCAGGTGGAAATATGGCTCTCTTGTCAAAAAGGAAGTTCTGGCTCATGGCACGCCACGTTTGGTGAAAAGAAACTGCATGCGCTAAACATTATAGTTTAGATGTTTTTTCCCTCTTGGGGGGCTGCTAACCCAGCCCCAAATGAATCACACATGGAGGCTTATTCTTGATTATGAATGCCCGGTGTTGTAAGTTAAGCAGAGAGACAGATGTCGTGAGACAGGGTTCAAGCAGAGAGGTTTTTTTTTTTTAATTAGGGAAAGGGATCATAAGGAGGAAAAAGGGGAGTGGGGGAGACCAGCCTCTGGAGACAGGAGCAGCAGGAGAGAGGAAGGCAGGGAGGAGAGGGAAGAGGAGAGAAGGATGGGAGGTGGGCAGGGCCCTTTTAAAAGGGAACAGAGTGACTGTGCACAGGTGGTGCTCTTAGTGGCTGCAGCTGAGGGCGTGTCCTGTCAGGACCCCAAGGACAGCCCAGTACGGATGCCTGAATACTGACACCCGGCCTTAGCTTGGCTTGTTTCTAGCCAGCTTTTCTTATCTTAAATTACCTGTCTCCCTTTTCCTTCTGAGCTTTTGTCTTTCCTGCTCCTTCTGTCTATCTTACTTTCCTTCTTACTCCATGGCTGACTGGGTGACTTCCCCTGATGTCCCCCTCTTCATCTTCTCCTATATGCCCTTCCCGCCAGCCCCACCTGCCCTCGCTATTGGCCGTCCAGCTCTTTAATAGGACCACCAGGTGTCTTAGACAGGCACAGTAACACAGCTTCACAGAGTTAAACAGAAGTCGCACACCTGGAAATAATATTCTGCCACCAAACATGGGGTCCCATGTAGTTCAGGCTGACCTCAAACTCACTATGCAGCTGAGGACGAACTTAGACCTCTGATCTCCCTGCATCAGCCTCCAGAGGGCTGGTATTCCAGGGGTGTGCCACCACACCCTGTTTATACAATGCTGGGGATCGAACCCAGGCCTTGGTGCTTGCTAGGCAAATACTCTGCCCACTGAGCAACACCTCCAGCCCTGTATTGCACACTTAAGTGAATGGACTTTGTGGTACGTGAGTTGTCTCCATTTACAAGGTTTTTTTTATTATCGTTTTGGGATGATGTGTGTGTGAGGGCATGTCCATGTGAATGCAGGAGCCCCCAGAGACTAGAGCAAGGGGCTGGGCCCCCGGAGCCGGTTACACCATGGGTGCTGGGAACCGTCCAGGCTCTGCGAGACCAGTGGATGCTCCTTCCGGCCAAGCTTCCTCTCCAGCTCTCTAGTCAATTTTCAAAACGTTACAGCTACGTACAATACATGGTTCTTTTCTTGGGAGTGGCTCTGAAGCCTAGGCTGGCCTGAGGATGAGAAGCCTCCAGGAGCGCAGAGAGAAGGTGGGGCAGTCCCTAGAACCCTGGACCAGAAGGCACTTGGAGAAGGGGCCCAATTAACAAGGCAGGAGTGGTGGGTGGGGAGGGGGAGGGGCGCAATGGAGAGTGTGGGTCTGAGAGGAGATCTTGACAGCCAGAAATGGGGGCTCTAGATCAGAGTCAACTGGGTGGTGACAATCCAGGTACCATGTCCAGGCAGACACTTCTCTCTCTAGTGAGGGAAGTCTGGCCTGGCGGTGGTGGTGCACGCCTTTAATCCCAGCACTCAGGAGGCAGAGGCAGGTGGATCTCTGTGAGTTCGAGGCCAGCCTGGTCTACAATAGCGAGTGCCAGGGTGTGGGGCTGGGCTGGGCTGGTACCCCTCCTAAGTTCCAGCTCTACTGCTCCAGCAACTTCCAGGGCCAGAGTTACGTCAGAGCTCAAGGTGGCTGCTGAAGTCGCAGTGAGTGCTTCTGATCCTCAGGCAATGAGGAAGCCTAGAGTCCATCACCCCCACCTGTTTAAGGAAGGTCACAGAGGTTGTCTTCTGCTTGGGCCAAGGGGTTCGACTGCTTAGGAGGAAGTGGACTTAGGGTGACAACTGAGTGATTCTCCAGCTAGGGGGACATCTAGGGTGAGAGGAGACCAGACAGAAGACGTGTGGTAACCTTCATGAACCCCTGACCTGGGGTTACCTCAGACCCTCCCCTGAGTCCTACGTAGCCCCAGACTGAGAGCAGTGGGATGGCAGGAAGTCAGAAACCCCTCTTCCCATGGAAGGAGCTGTCACTGTTGTCACTATGCATAGGGAGTCAGAAACCTCTCTTCCCTTGGAAGGAGCTGTCACTGTTGTCACTATGCATAGGTCTGGCAGTGGCTCTCTGTATCCTGCGGAGCCGGGGGCCTAGGCAGAGGGGACAATAGAGAGGAGGGAACCCGAGGGAAGAGGCTGGAGTCAAAGGTGCTCTGTGGCCGCCATCTGCCTCCCCAGAGCCGGTGTCTAGACACTCCAAGTCCAACAAAGGCCTCCTGCCTGCCCAGCCCTGGGGGCCCAGGGGACAGGCAAATGTGCCTGGCACCACAGGGGAGGCAAATCCAGCAGCAGAGAGGCTGAAGGGGCAGAGACCAGGCCTAGGCCCCCAGCAGGGCCAAAATAACCACCACTGAGTCAGTCCACCAACAGACTGGTCAGTCAGTGGAGAAGTTGAAACCCCAGCCGGGTCTATTACTTAACAGTTTGTCATCAGACAAAAATAAAAGTAAAACAATCCCACCCCCCACACTGCCACCAGCCTCAACCACAGAGCCATTGCCTGTCATCAGGAGTCACCTCGGGACAGCCCAGGCCAGGCCGTGAGTCTGCTCCTAGTCTGCTCCGGTGCCCCCAGGGGCACAGGGGCCCCTTCTTACCAGGCTTAGCTGCTGCCTTTAGGCCCCAGGCCCTGAGGTCCTCATCAACCTCGTCTACAAAACAGCCCTTCTTTGAGTGGGGACAGTGGGAGGGTGGGATGACAACCCAGGAGTGCCCTGATGACCCTCAGAACACATTTGCCACCAGACACTCAAAGGCCCAAGGTGACTGTGGATTTCTTTTCCGGGGCTGGACACTCGGGGGTCAGGTCCTCCCCGGAGAAGCTGTGGGAAAGCCTGCTGCGGTGAGGTCACAACCTCATTGGCTCCAGCGTTCAGGGGCCAGGGGAAGGGCTGTGCAAGCCTTAAGAGGCGCAGAGAGTTTCAAGCCCTGAGTGCTGCCCTGTATGTATGCTTGGCCTGTGAAAATTAGGTTACGAAACCTTGCTTGCTCCTTCCCACTCCCTTCGCCCAGGACTTCCAGAAAACAACAACAAAAATGCCCGAGAAAGATGATCAGGAAAAACAGCATCAAGGGTTTCCTTTCGTGTGTTTATTTACCTTTTCTCGTCTGGAGTGTGTGTGAGTTTGTGGTGTGTGTGTCTGCACCTCTGGGTGTGCACATACTGGTGCGTGTGTGCTTGTGTCTGCACACCAGAGGTCAGGACAGGTGTGTCTGCTATAGCTCTCCATCTTTGCTTTTGAGTCGGGGTCTCTCTTCCCACCACATCCCTGCTGCTGCTGGGAAGAAACACCCACCAAAAGCACCTTTGGGGAGGGAAAGGTTTATTTCATCTTACACTTCTGGGTCACAGTTTACCAATGAGGAAGCCGGAGTTCAAGACACGAGCCTGAAGCAGAAACCAGGGAGGGATGTTTGTTCTCCGGCTCACTCATACCTTTTTTTTTTTTTTTTTGAGACAGGGTTTCTCCGAGGCTTTTGGAGGCTGTCCTGGAACTAACTAGCTCTTGTAGACCAGGCTGGCCTTGAACTCACAGAGATCCGCCTGCCTCTGCCTCCCGAGTGCTGGGATTAAAGGCATGCACCAGCAACGCCCGGCCATGAATAGCTTTTTATATAGCCCAGGACCACCTGCCTGAGGAATGGCGCCACCCACAGTGGGCTGGGCCCGCTATTGACAGACCAGCCTGATCTTGGCAACTCCTCTCAGTTGAGGCTTCTCCCCTCAGATGGTGCTTATCAAGGTAACAATGAAGGCTAATCGGGACATCGCTCACTGAACCTGGGAGCTCATGGATTGAGCCAATCAACTCCACGGACCCATCTGTTGCCACCTTCACCTTACGTGGTGCTGGGAATCCGAGCTCAGGTCCTTGGCTTGTGCAGAGGATACGATACCTGCTGAGCCACCTCAGGTTGCTACAGTGACTCTACACAAGTCACAGCCTCCCAGCCCCAGGCCTGAGCGCCCTTTCCCGTACAGCCATACCTCCCACGCGGGGCAATCCTACCTGGCCCCCTTTGGCGAGCTGGCTTGGACTTTGCCCCAGCGGCTCCACGGGACCTCCCTCTTCCTCTCCAGCTTCTTACAGCATCACATCCATGACACCATGTGTGCGTCTGTCCTTTATTCTCCACACCTTAGTAGTCCAGGGGACACTCTGCCCGTCCCAGCTGGGAGCTATCAGCAATAGAAGTTTCTCTTCATCCCACAGCTTTCTTGGTGCGTATATGTTTACCTGTATGTAATTTTTAAAGAGATAATATTGTTTATTCTGGGCATGGTGGTGCATCCCTTTAATCCCAGCACTTGAGAGACAAAGGCAGGCACATCTCTGTTGAGTTTGAGGCTAGCCTGGTCTACATCACAAGTTCCAGGATACAGGGCTACATAGAGAAGTCCTGTCTCAAAAAAAAACTTATTTATGAAGGGGGTGCTAGTACTGTGTGTGTGTGTGTGTGTGTGTGTGTGTGTGTGTGTGTGTGTTAGCTTGAGCTACAGACAGTTGTGAGCTGACCCATGTGGACACAGGGGTCAGAACTCAGGTCCTTTGGAAGAGCAGCAAGCGCTGAGTCGTTGCTGAGTTGGTTTGTTTGTTATTTGAGATGCTGTCTTAGTGTTCTATTGCTGTGAAGAGACCCCATGACCACAGCAACTCTTATAAAAGAAAACATTTAATTGTGGTGACTTACAGTTCAGAGGCTCAGTTGTCATCGTCATGGTGGGACATGGAGGTGTGCGGGCAGATGTGGTGCAGGAGAAGGAGCTGGGAGTTCTCCATCTTGCAGGTGAGGGGACGTGGTCTGTGTCACTGGGCGTGGCTTGAGCATATATGAGGCCTCAAAGCCCACCTCCGTAGTGACACACTTTCCTCCAACAAGATCACACGCCCACTCCAACAAGACCACACCTCCTAATAGTGCCACTCCCTTTGGGAGCCATTTTCTTTCAAATCACCACACGGCCTCATGTAGCCCAGGCTAGCCTCAAATACTTTTTATAGTTCAGGATGACCTGGCACTCCCCACCCTCTGCCTTATTTTCTACTCACCCTGGAGCTCACCCGTGTGGCTAAACTGGCTGGCCAGCAGGTACAAGTGTCTGACGACGCAGATTCAATCTCCCAGAATCAACTTCACGGATGGCGAGGACTAGTTGTGACTTCCACATGTACCCTGTGACCTGTCCCTCCCCGAAAATAAATATAACAAAACTAGTTTTTAAAAAAGATAAGAACAGAGCCAGGCGTGGTGGCGCATGGATGTTGTCCCAGCATTTAGGGTTGGAGGCAGGACTAGCATTTCAAGGCTCATTTTTTCCACATTGTGAACTAGAGGCTAGCCTAGGCTACATGAACTCATGCCTCGAAGACTAAAGCCAGCACCGAAACCACGAAAACACGTGGGGATTCTTTTGGTACACACGTGCGTGTCTGGATAAGCACTCACATTCACCCCTTACCCTGTATCGTCTCCCTTTGTAAGAACAAGACACCTGTGGTCAACTCGAATCCCCGATGCCAGAGATAATCCAACCCTTTGTGAAGATGGCATGGGAGCTCCACAGTGAGGGGGTGGTGGGCAGCAGGGAAATGCTGGACCTCTTCCCTGACCTGGGCAAACAGTGACGTTGGGCACCAGGTACCAGGCATTAATAGCTCCGCTGAGGCTCTGGCCTCCAGATACAGCTATTTAAAGCCAAGAAATGTCATTTCTACCCACAGAGGCTGTCCCCACTGCGTATTTGGATTCTCTTCAGCCCCTGTGTTTTGGCAGGCTCGGGGCCTGGCTGCCCAGCGGCGGGACCACAGGGCTCCTGGCCAACCTGTCGTCACTGCTCCAGGGAGAGAAGGGCTAATCTTGACCTCTCCAGGTCTCTCCTCCTCTTCCTCTCTGCTCAGGCCCCAGGAGACGCTAAGTAGACTCTAAGGGACCCAGTTCACCCTCTACAGAAGGTTGCCGCCCACACAGAAGGCCTCACTGTCCGTGCTGGAGTCTAGGATTGAAGTGCGCACCTGAGATCTGGGGACCAGGATCATGTCTTCACCCTGCTATGTGACCATAGGGACGTTTGTTTTCCCTCTCTAGGCTCCCATTTTCTTACCCGGGCAATGAAATCACCTTCACCTTGCCTTGTTTCTGGGGTAGCTGCAAAAAATGAGAGATGAGAGTCTTTGGAGCCTACGGTGGGGAACGCACATTAGAAACCCAGGTTCAGGAACTGAAGAGCCACTCGGAGGAGAACACTTGCTGTGTGAGAACGATCATCTGACTCAGGGTGCTCAACACCCAGGTAAGAATCCTGGCGTGGATGCGTGTAACCCCAGAGGCTGTGAAGGCAAAGGCAGGTGGGTGTCCGGGGCTGGCGAGGGAGCCTGTCTGGAGACAGCAGGCATGAGGTGGGAGGCAGGGGCCTGACCCCCCCCCACGCTGGCCTCCGGGCAGGCATGCCCATGCCCATCCTCACAGGCACCCATGCATACCACGTGCCCACACTCAACTTAAAAAAAATCCATGTTGGGCATGGTGACACACTCCTTTAATCCCAGCACTTGGGAGGCAGAGGCAGGCTGATCTCTGTGAGTTCAAGGCCGCCTGGTCTATAAAGTGAGTTCCAGGACAGCCAAGGCTACAGAGAGAAACACCTGTCTCAAAACACACACAGACACAGACACACACACACAAATAAATAAATGGAAAAAGAAATCAAAATATTGCCTATGATGACCCGCCCGAAGAGAGGAGCCTCAATGGAGGAAATGAGGCTATCTGATTGGCCCACCGGCGTGTGTGTGAGCATTTTCCTGTTACCAGATGCTGTAGGAGGGCCCAGCCACCATTCCCAGACATTTGGACCTGGGGGTGTAAGAAAGGCGGCTGCTGGCCAGCCTGAGAACAAGTCAGTAAGCCGCACCCTCCATGGCCTCTGCCTCAGCCCCTGCCCTGGCTTCCCCAGCGATGCTCTGTGACCTGGGGGTGTAGGCCAAACAAACCATGCCCTCCCCAAATTGCTCAGGGTCAGGGTGGTTATCACAGCAACAGAGAAGCCAACTAGGACGTGACCTGAGTCTCCTTCCCTCTTCTCCAGGCAAAGTCACTGCAGAGTAACTGGGCTCTGGACCGTGGGACTCAGGAGGCTGCCCCACGCTTCCATCATGGTCAACAGGAGCCCAAGACAAGAGTGTCCTCCCGTCCTCCCAGACAGTTGGCTCTGATCTGAGGCCTCTGCTGGTTGTTTCTGAAGCTTAGGAGATGTGGGGAAGTTGAAAGCCTGGGGGTTGGTGGCAGCGGTGTGGGGGAAGGTGGGAGGCAGAGGAGGAGGTTGTGTGTGTGTGGGGGGGGTGCCCATGTGGATGGCGGAGGCAGTATGGGAGGTGTGGGGGTGGGCGGGGGTTGGGAGGTGGCCATCCCAGGCTGTCCTGCACTGGTGTCTGGAGCGCCGGCCAGGACAGTGCACACTCAGCATGGCTGCTTCTGCCCAGCAGAAAAGGGGAGAAGGAAGAGTTTGGAGATTACATTTTGGGGGATCTTGTGTTTCCCTTATGTTTTAGGTCACAGAAGTCACAGAGACTCGTCTTGGTTTTTTTTTTTTTTTTTTTTCTTTTTTGATTTAAACTGAAGTAGTCTAGGGCCAATGAAACGCCTTAGCGGGCCCAGGCACCTGCGTGAAAGCCTGATGGCTCCGGAGAGAGCGAAGATGTTTCTGACCTCCACATGCGCGCCGTGGCACCTGTGTATCCGCGTACACAATAAGGTGATGTTAATAAGATAGTCTAGACACACAAAAAGGCATATATCAGTCAGAAGAATCCATTCCACGTCCCAGTGACAAACACTCCCAAAGTCTCAGCGACTCAATACATGCTGATTTCTCCTTTTCTGCCTTTTCAAGTGGTCTGAGGGTGAACTGGGTCTCTTTCCACTGAAGCCACCCAGGGGACGGGATGAATTCCAGCTGTTGGGGAGCACTGCACATAGACCACCATGCCCAGAGAGAGACAGGAAGGGCAGGAGTTCAAGTTCATCCTTCCGTACACAGTAAGAGGGGTCAACGTGGAATAGAGTTTCCTGTAACCATCAATCAGTAAAACCCTAGATGTCAGCTGCGGGCATGCTTCAGCGGTGCAGTGCTTGCCTGACAGGCATGAGGTCTTGGGTCTGAGTCCCACGACTAGAAAGGGACAGCCCATGAGGAGGCGTGGATGTACCAAGTCGCACCCCATGAGCTGTGTGTGAGCCATTGGTCACCCTGGATCTCCCCATTGAGCTCTCTAGGGAACCTGGGACATCTCCATGGTTAAAATAAAAGGGAGCCAATCACTGTAGCCCTCAAACATACGCAGAACACTGTCTGCGCCATGCACACAGCCAGGCACCGGGGCTCCTCGGGAGGGGCCGGCCTCGGTTCCCATCCTCAGTGAGACTGCAGCCGTTAGGGAAGCGGCAGATGCCCTTACTCAGGAGCCCTCAGTATAGCACAAGGGACAGAAAAAAAGAATGACAACCCCCCATTCTGCTGGTATGGGGGTACACACTTGCAGTCTCGGTATTGAGGAGGCTGAAGCAGGAGGGTGGCTAGCCTGAGCTACTAAAGAAGAAACCACACCTTCCTGCTACCAATAGGTAATTAGTAATTGTTCATCTTTTCTTTTTCTTTCCTTTTCTGGACTGGGTCAAGGTCTCTGCCGCGCTCCTCAGGGGATCCCTCGTTTATCATAGACGGAGATGATGGGCCTCTAGGGCTGGCTCAGCAGCTAAGAACATGTAGAGGGCCCAGGTTTGGATCCCAGCACCACGTTGGGTGGCTCCTGACCACCTATAACTGCCAGGTCCAGGGGGTCTGATGCCTCTGGCCTCCATAGCACCGGTACTCACATGCAGACAGACAGACAGACAGACAGACACACACACACACACACACACACTCTCTCTCTCTCTCTCTCTCTCTCTCTCTCTCTCTCTCTCTCTAAGTAAACAAGAGGGCTGGAGAGATGGCTCAGGGGTCAAGATCACTGGCTGCTCTTGCAGAGGACCCAGGTTTGGTTCCCAGCACCCCCATGGCAGCTCACAACCGTTCATAACTCCAGTTCCAAGGGATCTGATGCCCACTTCTGACCTCCACAGGGTTACATACAGTACAGGCAAACAATCATCTATAAACAAATAAATCTTTAAAAAAATAAAATTTTCACTGGTGTCTGCCTTCTTTCCAATCTATTGCACCATAACTTCTCTATAAGCAGCTGTGTCCATCAGTTTCCAATAAAGCTAAACTTATAGATAGGTTAAAAGTAAGTTTCATATGTATTGCAATGTACTACATAGTTTTTCTTTAGATAGTCATAAAACATCAAGGTTTCATTTTATGTTACCCAATATTTCTTAGAAAAACTATACTTCCTTTTTTTTTTTTTTTTTTTTGGTTTTTCGAGACAGGGTTTCTCGGTATTGTTTTGGAGGCTGTCCTGGATCTAGCTCTTGTAGACCAGGCTGGCCTCGCCTCGAACTCACAGAGATCTGCCTGCCTCTGTCTCCCAAGTGCTGGAATTAAAGGCGTGCGCCACCACCATCCGGCTCCTTATTCTTAGTGATTTGGAAGTAATTCACAAACATACGTAGAATAAATATATCAATTCATATAAGCATGCAGAATGTTTGATAGACAAATCTGTATTTTGCTCTTCAAGGATATCAAAATAAAAGTAGTCAACTGCAAAAAAATAAAATAAAAAATTTAAAGACAGACAGTGACCGGCATAAGGTAGAAAAGTCTGCGTTTCCATCTCTAGCCTGATGTGGGC